TTCGCACGTTGTGTAATGTACAAAAAACACTTTTACTCTCCCATTCTCTTTCTTAACTCAACAAACGATTAAGGTAATCTTAATTTCTGCTGCTAAAATGAAGAAGTATAAATAAACGAATATATAGAAGGAATTCACTACTGAAGCGCAGCATTTCATGTAACTATGAAAAATACTCCATTGTCGTACTTTTTACAACAGTGCGAGTGCTCGACGGTTAAGGACTAGGCCGGAAGGTAAACTAGGAAGTGTAGAAAGAGAGAAACCGAATACCTAACCCACTGAATTCTTAAAGCCTCTTACATGCTTAAGTGTAGAGGACGTGTCACATACATTTTTTGTTATTTCAAAATTTCCGTTTCAGAATGAAAAAAAATATTGTCATTATAACTCGTAAGCAGTCAGTTGTCATGTCATGTTAAATGTCATGCGACTCTTAATGTTCTCCGATCAAAGAGTTGAATGCGTTACTAACTGACGTCACTAACGTGTCATGGAAATTTGATGTAAATACCCCACAAAATGATACTTATGTGACAGTCGATATTTTCCAAGAGGCAGAAGCCGCAAGCTCTATTTCGAAATAGGGAACTACATTCGAAGACTTAATGGGTTTGATAAAATGAGAAAATAAATGTTCGGTGTATAAATGGAGATATTGCCATATCAGTTTAAACGAGCGATCAATGGCAGTAAAGTTACGCCTGATGTCTTATTTTCGTACGTTAACTAATGATGCTATAGAATGACACAGACTTTCCCATATTAGTTTTCTATTTCCTTTGGTCTCGGTTAGCTCTTCGAACTTGCCTGGTGCACACTAGCAGCGCCCAAAGTACATTTTCTGACATTTTATTAATTTCTCGCATTTCTAATTTAGAGCGGGAATATTATGTTAATGTTATTAAAGGACAGTGAAACGTCACCCCAAATGGTAATTTTCTTTGAATAATTTGGAGTCGTTTACAAAAAAAGTAGCGTTTAAGCGTTACTGTAAATTCGAAATTTGAAGCTCTATTTCACAGAAAATGTTTGTTTTCTAAAAACCTCATTTAAAGTCATTTTAAGTACTTTAATTCACAAATACAATAGTGTTTTCAAACTGCTGGAAATGTGCACATCAACGGCGTGAGAGATCTTTCAAAAATGTACACTTGTGTAATTTAAAAAAAAAAAGAATTGAAATTAACTTTACGTCATAATAAAGAGTGCCGTTACAACTATCCGTTCGAAATATTTAAAGAAAAAAGTTGGTTTGGTTTTTTTCAAAATGGTGTTTGAGTGTTTCTGAAAATGCGGAATTTTGAGCTGTTTTCATAGAAAAGGGTAGTTTTACGACAAAATGTATGACCTTATGTATTGCACATATACTCATAAATACAAAAATGTGAACAAATTGCTACTAATATAAATATTAACGACATGAGAGACAAGTCAAAAAAATACATTTTTGTACTTTAAGAAAACATATTTAAAGCTAAGGTGGCTGATACCACCCGATCTTCCCCTACCTCATAAAAACCTTAAAAGTCATATTTATAAAAATTGAAAGTGCTATTTATAAACTCATGGACGGAGGAGTGCAAGTATTGCTTAAGTACAAAAGCTAAGAAAAGTTTACTCTGTAAATCCTTCGCGAGAGGTTCCCGCTAACCCAGGGGAGTGCTTCGCTGCTTTCAAATACTCAGCAGACAGAATAAGCCCGTAATGGGTCAATTCACAGAGACTACAGGACCATCAGGTCACTTGTTATTACGAACCAATGCAACTTGTTTTTGCTAACTACCAGCAAGCAGCATTAAGGTAACGACTCATCACTAGTCAACTCTAATAGAGAGCTACTGGCGAATACGTGCTGTACCAAAAGCCTAAGAAAGCAATCCAAGAAGAGCGGACTTCCAGGCGTGAAGCTTTTACTTTTATGCGGGCCGAGAAGAGCGTCGTAGCGAATTATGCTGTGCAGACTGACTTGTGCCTGCATGGCTGCCAACCGTTGAGTCCGGAGCAATTCTCTACACATGCACAGGGGCTTGGAAGGCGTCTCGGGGCTGGGCGGAGCGCTCCTGGCTGGAGAACGGCGGTCGCTAGGAACGCTCGGCCGCCTGGAGCACATGCGCACACGCTCACACGCGCCGTGACGAGAGGGCGTCTCCACTCTCTCTTTCTTTCCCCCTTTCTCTTACATTATCGTAAACGTAATTTATAATAAGCTATGTAATCGTGAAAATAATGTTCACAAGAATATGACTAAATAAACATTTTCGCTGTCACCTACGTAGATATTTTTAAAAATAAACAAGGACAGTCGGTCTATTTGTCCATTAGTTTGTCTGTCAGTCCGTCCGTCGATCAGTCTGTGGGTCCGTCTCGCCGGGCGAGGCGGGGCTGGATGGAAACGAGGAGAATCAGAGTGGAGGTGGCCGGATTCACGGGTCAGATCTTAATTAATTAACGTTGTCTCTGAGTCTGTCCGGGAGGGCCTAATATTCATGTCACGGCAGTGGCGGATTTTTGACACTAGCAATGTAGCTAGGACGAACAGGCCGCTGCCGGGAGAAGAATTCTTGCAACCGATTTCTCCATCCAGCAAGGAGCAAACGCCTCCACCTCCCAGGACAAAACAATCACTTCTCTTTCGGTACTAATACGTGTGACATGCCCATCAACCACCTGGGCAACACGAAGCTATTTCGATTTGTTCCATATCATTTCCGTTTAGCAATACAGAAATGCATAGCGATCACAAAGTAATAGTCGTGGGGGCTTCCTTCGTTTATGGATCTCCCAGTACTGTGGACAGGGCAGTTTATTAAAAATAAGAGATAATAAAATATTCGAATATTTTTCTCACACAGTCGAAATCCAGTATTTGGGAACATCGAGATACAAGACGATACCTGCTAACGTATACGCATGGACACAAAATTTATGTACAATAGCTAACTGAAAATTCTAAGTTACGTACTGTCACTAAAATGAAAGACAGAACGTTTAAAATATTTAAAATTTGCCATCAGGGTACTGGCAGTGTGAAAATAGATCCATTTCTTTGATGGAATTGTGTATAGGAGCATTTACTATTCAGGAAACGTATGTCGATCGTTTGCGGTTGCCTGAACGGTCAAAGTTCAAGTACCCGACGACCCTGAATTGTTCTCAGCTTCGCTCCTCAAAGTCGCCTATTTAATGAGTAACGTGGTCCACATGATTGGGGCACGTTGATTGTCAAATTACTTTTCTTTAAAGAGAGCCGAGATTTTTAAAAGTATACTCTAGTAAAAATGGCCCAGAATGAAACCGTTCATCAATATGACACACACTTTAGCGAATGATTATTTCTTATTTCTAGACATTAGTCGCGTATGTGTAGTACATTTTTTATCACGTAGGGGGCGGTGTTTATCTCTAGTTGGGTGGCAAGATCCGGCGCTGACTTACACGTGTGTTTCCCGGGGGGTTCCGTATCTCCCACCAGCGCCCCAGCTGGGACAAATCCCCTTTCTGGTCGTCCGACATGTATGGTACTGCAGTGCATGTAGGAGAAGGTGTAGGTAAGTAAGGGGTGAAGATAAGACAAGAGGAGAAGCTTGGTCTGTGGCCTGTTTCTTAAAATACCGCTCCGGCATTCGCTTGGTAACGATCGGAGAAACCATGGAAAATAACCTTCCAGAGCAGCCGGCCGCTAGAATTCACTTTCACTTGGCTGTTGATTTCGACCTAGCTATCTAACAGTGTCGAAAATTTGCCACAGTTGGAACTTGAACCCTAGGACCTCCAGGTCAGAGGCACTACAGTGACATTAGTTCATGTTCTAAGCTTTAGCTTTTAAGTTAAGCTCTCTTTAGCTTTTAAACCACCAGAAAATACATGCTTTACAAGTCTACGATTGCATGTGAGAAAATATATTTTAAATATGACAGTCATCAGGGAAGCAACAATTATAATTGTTTTACTTGACTGATTGTTTGCAACTCTTCCTTTTAGAAAAGTAAATAAAATAAAGTAAAAGTAATTTGACTTAAATAATATAGGTCAATCCGACATCTTTTTAAATATCGTTTCGAGTTAATAGGTTGTTTGAGTTGGATTAGCTGAGCCTGATCTATTATTCGATGGAATTCGAATTATTGGATAATTTTGTTATTTTAAATTTAATTTGATGCGTGTAATTCTGTTTTTGAGCATTTGTTGGAGGTAAAAACATACTATACTTGTCCTTGGGGAGCAAAAAGTACAGACGTTTTACAATTATTGCATTGAACAAACGTTTGCATTCTGATTTTCACTCTTCAAAAATTTAAATCAGAAGAAAATATTATGTTCACTAATCTCTTAATGCCTTATGAGCTTATTACTTCAGAATTTATTAACTGACTACAATTAGCAAACCCGTATGACACCAGAAAACAACTGAAAGGTGAATGTAAATGTGCAAAAGAAAAGATTCACTGAACACAGTAGTTTCAAACTTAATTCTCTTTCATTAATATTTCAAAGAAAATATAGAAGGTCTTCGTTTTTATGCTGCATTTTGTATTATAGAACTTCTTTTGTAGTAGATATTATTACGTCCGGAATACTTTATCATCCCTATTATAACAAAATACAAAGGAAATTTCTAAAACTGGTTCAGAAAATATCCAGATTTTGATAGAAGATACTTCACAAGATTTTTAAAAAATGAACAAATCTATTTGCAAAAGCTAAATTTGTTTTCATAATTGCCAAACACTTTTTTTCATTATTTACAACACTTTTTTCATTAAAGATTTATAAAGCTGATTCTGCATTCTGATTGTTTATAACCTCTGATGAATTCTAACAACCGAATTACATAATAATTTCATATTCTCAATTGAACCTATATGTAGATTGATAACGTTTTCTTCACATAAATCATAATCCAGAGGCAAATACTTTTCGTCTTGACTAGTTAGAAAGTGATGCAGTGAAAAAAACGCAAAGTGGGTAAGATTAAAAGAAACAAAACAAAGGCTCAC